ACAAAAACAAGAAAGAAAAAAAAAATAAAAGCAAATCGATGATGATTTGTCTATTATTTTTCTCTTCTTTTACAGATGCTAAATTTTCTCGTTCTTTTCTTCTTTTTTCCAGAAAGTCGTTTATTGTTGTTCTTGTTCATGTTGTTATAACTTCGAAATTTACTCTCATTTATACACAGGCATTAGAAAAAATCAACATGTGGAGAAAAAAACACATTAAAAAGATGTTAAGAAAAAATAGAAAACGAACAAAAATGAATTAACCTGTCGTATAAATATATATGCTTTTTTTTTGGTGGTAAATATGATATTTGATTCCATCTCACATGATGAAAAAAAAGACAGGAACTACACAGAAGGAAAGAGAATAAAAAAAATATGCATCATCATTATCATTCTCTTTCTTTTTTCATTACCTATATGCTAGTGCACGCGATTTCATCCTTTTTTTTTCATTGCACTTTACCTTGTGAAAAAAAAAGAAGAAGCATCATTCTGCTTTTTGACCTTGCTCTCGCTATATGATTAGAAGCAGAGTTTGAAGATAAAACAGTATCTTTTTGTTGTTTCTCTATTTCTTTTACGTACAAAACTCGTAAGATAGAGGAAATAGCATATTATTTGGTTCATTAATTTTAGATTCGATCTATAATGAAAAGGCTTTCACGTTTGCATTCTTCAATAATATTATCTATAACCAAAATAGTTTTTTAAACTCCAAATCCAATCAATAGTCAATAAAAAACAGTAAGAATGGCAACAATTGATGATTATGAAAGTCTTCCCGAATCAGTGCATCCAGCTATACATATGGCTGCTGGAGCATTGGCTGGTATTGGTGAACATTGTATTATGTATCCCGTTGATGTTGTTAAAGTATATTTAATTATTTTTTTATTTAGTTAAAATAATTTTCAAAAAAAATTTTCTTTAAATTTTAATAGACTCGAATGCAATGTATGAATCCTGATCCTCATGCAAAATATCGAGGAATTTCACATGCTATACGAGAAATGATGACTAATGAAGGCATATTCAGACCTGTCGGTGAATTTTTTTCTTTGCTATTTTACATCTAGATTAATTTATATATTGTTATTTTATCTAGGTTCGTGGTGTGCATGTTGTAGCTTTAGCAGCTGGACCAGCTCATGCACTTTATTTTTCTTGTTATGAAAGAATGAAAATATTATTAAGTGGAACTTCTCAGGCTGGTCATAATCCTCTTGCTAATGGAATAGCCGGTTGTTTTGCTACTTTATTTCATGATGCTTTGATGGTACCTGCTGATGGTAAAAACTATATGCATATATATTTTAATTAATAAACTAAAAATTAATCTATTATATTTTAGCTATTAAACAACGTCTTCAAATATATGCATCTCCATATGCTGGTGCAATAGATTGTTTACGTAAAATTCGTCAACGTGAAGGTCTATCTGTACTCTATCGAAGTTATACAACTCAATTAACAATGAATATTCCATTTCATTCAGTACATCTTATTGCTTATGAATTATTTCAAGATGAATTGAATTATGCACGAACATATGATCCATTATCACATGTTATATCAGGTGCTGGAGCTGGTGCTATAGCTGCAGCCATAACAACACCATTAGATGTTTGTAAAACATTATTAAATACACAAGAATGTTGTTTAGCATCAACTGGTGAACCACCATGTTCATTACCAAGAACTCCAAATATAACACCAACAACAAATGGAAATACAGTATTTGCAACTGCAGAAGCAAGAGGACTTATAAGCGCTGTTCGTGTGATATATATTCAAGGTGGTATAGCCGCTTTTTTTAAAGGTTTAGCACCACGTGTTCTTTATCAAATGCCAAGTACGGCCGTCGCTTGGTCTTGTTATGAATTTTTCGTACGTAGCATTGAAATTAATCATTGGAAAAGAAAGAAACCCAGAAATGATTTTCTTTTTTTTGTTTTAGAAACATTTTTTTGCCGGAAAACCAACAATATTATGATTTGTCGAACTTTTAACAAGAAGGTCAGTGATACAACCACTTTACAATTGTTGTTTTTGCTTTTTGCACCGTATTGTACAACTAACAAGATTATGCTCCTCTTTTTTTTTCCTCATCTCTTTTTTGTATGTTGCATTAATCACACTGCTTGTGTATGTGATTTTGTTTTGATTGTATGCTTTTGAATTTCATGTCTTTTTTTTGCTGTTGTTATCAAGTACATAAACAATGCATATAAAAACTCGAAAGGACGAAATCATAACAAATGCTTTGTATATTTAATATTGTTTGTTTAAAGCAAGAGTTAAATGCATTGAGAAGATATTCGAGGCTCATGTCGGATATGATGACCATTCTTCATTAGAAAATTCATTTTTATCGTTTTGTAGAATAACTATTGGTGTATCGAATGGTTTGTAAAATGTTGCGTTGTTACGTTCTAAGAAGCCATGTAAGAGTTAAAGGATCTTTATAACAACGGTGAGTAATATGACTGAATATAAAGTTTTGTTTATAGATAATGCAATTGTGTATATCTATTCATACTGACAATAGCTTTTTTTGTAGCGAAAACTTTAATATTTTTCTTAGCTTCTGTTATTTTTGGCTTTTCTGACAAGTTTTGTAAGTAAATGAATTGGTTGTCCTCCGTATTGAAGTGCGTTATACTTAAGTTGGCTAATGAATAGTCAATTATTCAATTCCTATGGACAGAAAAGTATATCAGGTATACAATGAAAATGTTTCTATTTATTATTAACGATTTCGTCATGCCCGATCATTTGACCTATCTAGATCTTTTGAAAATATCAAAAAAAAATGTGCTTCAGTTCTTAAACAGGTGCGGAAATGAACTATAACAAAGATTAGTTGTTATTTTAGTTTATTCGTTACGAATTCAGATTTTGCGTAGCTATATGTGATTAGAATATGAAGTCATATTAAATTCAATATATGTTCGATCTCTTATGAAAATAAAAAAATTGCCAGTTCTCGTGCAGCTCTTCAGGAACCTGAAAGCGAACAGGTTTTTACTATTATTCGAAAGACCTATACATATTAAATTACAGGATATGATGCACTTATTATAAATAGATAGGAACTTTTTCATAAGAAGAATATTTATCGCAGAACGAACATATTTTTCTGTTCATACAAGAACCGAATTATTAACCTTTCATTAGTCAATTTTACTATGTCACACTTCAACTGAAAGAACAACAAAATCCGTACACCGATAGAGCTTGGTCATATAATTCATGAAAAAGTTGTACGATTAGTCGCTTATAACCTAAGAAGGAGTATCGAAGAATTCAAAGCTTCATAAAAACTAAAAATTACAGAAACTAAGAAAAATACTAAGATTTCCGATATGTAGTATCCACAATTGCTATAATGTCCATTGACTAGCATATAGCCGATCAGTCATGAGAGTTTGATGAAAGTACAACATCCTATACATCATTCAATACACCAGTAGTTACTCTACAAAACGATACCACTTTTCACACGATGGATGGTCATCCTCTCTAACAGTGTCTTTTCAAGTAAGTCAGTTAAAAGAAATTTTCATTAAATTAAATTGTATTGATTTGATATAAACGATTAAAATGTGTTTTTTTTTCTTCATATCGTAGGAATTATTCTTCTAAATTACAACAATGATGTTTCTAACTAAGCTCTGTTTCATGATTGTTGTTCACAAATAACAAGACGATCATTTTATTCAACTAGTTATCGTTGTTGTTACATCAAATGATTTATTTTCATCATAATTGTTTTTCTGTTGTGTATGTGCCGTGTTTTCTTTGTCTTTTTTGATTCTTATCATTTTTTTTTCTCTTTCTCTTTCCGAAATTCATTTTCATTGTTAAACCTTTATTTGTTTTACTAGGAAAAAAAAACAAAACAATAGGATATATTTTATTAATTGATTTTATATCAGTTAATTAGTTTTTTTCTTTTTTTTGATAATATCGTAGACTAGAAGTGTTTTTTGTAATGGATAATTCATTATATCACGAAATATTCGATTTTCTTCAAGAGTTCTTTGAACATGATTGTACAATTCTACTTGTGATTTAAAATTGAGTATAGCATGAATACCATAACGACGTATGAGAGTAGGTATACTTGCAAAAAGATTAGTATTTTCCGATTCAATCTATATCAAGTAAGAAGAAATAATCAAAGAATATGTTGATATTTGATGAGAACTGATTGTTTTGACAAAATAATTATTTTATTGCAATTTTTTGGATCAATTTAAATATGATTGATTACATTCGATTTCATACGAATTTTAAATAGAAAGAATTCAAATAAGAAATAAAATAACAATTAGAATTTTTTTTTTCTATCTATGAATCAAATCATTCGTTAACGAGGTGAGTTTTTAAAATTAAAACACGTTCATCTTGAAATAATGAACTTTCCTAGAGTTAACTTTTATATGTTAAGTTACTCTAGATATAGGAAATGAATCAGTCTTATTGTTTAGAGCAGTTGTCAGTAAAAAAAAAAACTAGCTTTAGCGACTTGGCATAAAAAAGAACATCGACTTTCTCTTAATACATTGTAGTTTTAAAAAACTCCAAGTTCAGGTAACATTTTTAAAAACTAAATGCTTCTGCAGATGATTAAAGAAATATTTGCTAATTACTTTTTAACTAACAATCAATTGAAAGAGCCAATATTTTTACACGTGTCTATCCTAAAAGAACTTATTCAAAAGTTATAGAAAAGATGGATATGTTTGATTTTGCTTGAGATCGCCCTTATACGACTCGCACTAAAGTATTTACGTTTTATTTCCTATTGAGAAGTTGTGTTTGTCTGAACTCCTATTCATAATAGAAGACCCAGGTCTTCTATTGTGGGTTGCGATTGACAAAAACTGAAAACTATGATTAAAAACATTGTTTTTAAAACACTTATTGCCTCTTGAAAAAAATATTTTCTTTTGCTGCAATCGATTTTTTTTTAATTTTCGTTATGTTTATTTCTAATTTATTACTTTATTTGTGAATTGTTGTTTGAGAAATGGTTCGATATAAATTGATAAAATAAGCATTTCTTGTGAATTACTCATAAAAGAACGAATGACTTGACATAAATTCATGCCTAAAGTATAGTAACATGAACGATGATATAATATTTGTAGACAATGCCATCCATTCAAATGTTTAATAATTTGATCTTGAATAGGTTGAAAGCGATTTTGTTGTGATTCAATAATATTTGAAGAATTGTTCGAAATGCTTGATTCAATTTGTTGATAATGTTTTACTTGTTTAATAATTTTATGATTGGTTTTTATTGATTGAAGAAATGTACTTGAACGAACCCATTGTTGAATTCGAACGGATGTTTTTTCATTCATGTATAAAATAGGCTCATGTTTTTTTGAATGATAAGAAGTGGTCTTTTTTTGACTATTAGTTTGTTTTAGAAACTTTTGTATATTTGAACTTGGCAATGTCTTGGTTAAATATCTATATAAAACATACCTAATCATTCGCTAATGAGAAAACTTCAGCTGTTCCTTTCTGATTTCAATCCTTCTTTTTTTGAATAGTGTTCTAATAAAAACCCTAAAAGGATTTTAGTTTCTTTTAAGATTTGATTAAGCTATCGAATTTTTAACATATGTATTTTCTAAAAGTTTCAGATTTGCGAAAAACTCATATTTTCGAATTTGAATCCACAGAAAAACAAATAATATTAAATACTTAGATTTTTTCACTGTTGCATCATTTTGAATTGTATTTAATTTTATTGATTGATATTTATTTTGTGGTGCATTATTACTCATCGGTTGATTAATAAAATTTTTTTCTATTGCTTTATTATCATTTTCAGTTAATTTTAGACTTTGACCAATTATAGTAATACTAGGCCAATATGGTTCTATCGATTTACCAAGATTTTCCAATGTAAAACCAGTTATATTTTTACTTGATATATCGAGTAATTCGCTTATAGCATAACGTAGTCGATGACTGTAAATATCTGAACTCAATCCACATACTTGTCGAGCATGACAATGATTACCAGCTAACGATTTAACAACTAATGAATTGTAATCATATGGCGAAACGCCTAAAAATAAGATAATGAAATTAGCCAAATTCGAAGGTACGAATGAATACAAGACCTAACTATCAAAAATACAGCATTTGGACTAGCCATGAGAAGACGTTGAATAATGGATGGATTACCATGAAGATTATTAATGAATTGTTGAGCTTTTTGTTTTAATGAAAATGTTTTCTCATGTTGATCCATATTTATATTATTATTATGCATTTTTGTGATAAGAATAACATCTGATCGATATGTATATGCAATATCAGATGTATATATAAGTTTGACTGAACGAGAAATAGGACAAAGTTGTAAAGCACAAGCAAGCTTTCATATAGAATAGAAAATAAAATTTTATATCAAAAAAATCAATTCGTATTATTTACATACATCTTGAAAGCATGTTTTCATCTGTCGATTATAACATTGATCGAATACAACAATTTCACTGACATATCGCTTTAGAGCCATAGTCAATGCACATATAAATGTAGTTCGATCTGTACCCAAAATAGTTACTTTTGATTGAGGTTTTGTTGCATATGATGTTAATTGTTTGCTTAGTAAAAGAGTACGTTTTATATTTGAATTAGTATTCGTATATCTAGTCGATACTGACTGTTCGATAGGATGTGATTGTTTTATTTGATTTAAATTCGAATGTAAATGCTCTTCTAATTCATTTTGATTTTCATACATATCATTAATAGTTTTATCAAACATTGTTTAATAACATTAATAAAAAAGAAAATAGATAACTATTTATTATGTATCCCTAGCAATTTTTGTATAAAATCTCGTTTACAATGAGCGGGATATATACAAAAATGAAAAAAAAAAGAACAAAATTAAAAAAAAGTTTTTTTTTGTTTTTTGTTAATTTACAAACAACTATCTTTATAAAATTTTAGTATTTCTTATGTTAAATTCAAATTAATAATTCTATTAGATTAATTGTCATGATAAATATAATAGTCATCATTATTATCATTATCATCATTTTGATCTATAATTGATTTTTGTATTGGATTTCGTTTATAGATTTTAATTTCTTGAATAGAATTATAATTTGAATATTGTTGTTGTGTTTCATCATTTTCTTTATTAGAATCTACAACAATATTAAGTGGTGTTGTTGGTGGATCATTTGGCATTGGTCGTTGTAATGTACGATCTAAATGATACCATACATCAACTTTATTCCAACGATTTGATTTTAAATAAGCTTTATGATTATTCATTACACATGATGGACGTGTACATATTTTATGTGTACTAGATGATGTACCACGAGTATGTGATTGAAAATTAGATTGACTTGAAGTAAGAGTAAGTGTACTAACATCATAATCACTATTTGTATCATCATCAATATTTATAAATTGTTTATCACGAATATGTCGAGTATCAGATTTAGTATTGATACGTGTTGCTATTGGAGCTGATGATGAAAGAACAGCAAGACCATGAAATGATGATTGATTTTTAACATGATGTATTTCACGATTTTTATCAGAATTTATTGGATGAAAACGCTGTTCATGATCAAATGTTGTAAGAGAATTAGTAGAAGAACTTTTTAATGATTGGTGTTTTGAATGTGAATTTAATGTTAATGGATGAAGATAAATACGACGAGTAAGAACATGTGAAGAATTTGATGATGATTGAGAATGATATGATGATGATGATGGTGGATGACGAAAATCATGATATGATTGACATAATTCAAGTAATGTTAAAGTTTTTGGTTTTAATGGATAACGTGCTGCTGCAGATGCCATATGTAACTAGAAAAAATCTAAAGAATACATGTGTTTTTTTAGAAACTATATGTGAATATATAGAAAAAAATTATTCATAGTCTTTTCTATGGTAAAACTTATTGGTTATCAAATTCGTTATTTTTGACGTCTTATGAAATTTTTCTCAAGCTATTTTTAAAATCAATCATTCAAATCAAACTAATGAATTTCTTTTTGTATTTGAATATTATTTCATATGTAAAATAATGAAATAAAAACAATCGAGGCGATGTCATTTTTACTTTTGAATTTGAATGTAAATTTTATTAGATATATGTACAAAAAACATGCATCGAACAAAAAATAATATGATTAATGATCAAGACATGATGTGTCAAAAAGAAATTTATTGCCTGTTGATTATTTATTGAGAAAGAAAAAATGTTTGAAATTTTCAAGTGTTTGTTTTTTACTTTATATATTTGTTCTATATAGAATATGAAAAAAAAAAAGGGAGCTAACATTATTTTTGTTATTGCATTTATTTGTTGTTTTGCATACATTAAATGTTCCTCGACTTTTTTTTTGAATATTCATAGTTGAAAAAATTTTAATTTAATACAATAAAATATTATTGAAATAATACCGCCCAACAAAATAAGTAAAATAATAAAACCAATTAGATAATATACAAAAGTTGAAGATGATTGATTTATATTATTAACTCGAATTGGATTCATATGACTTTTACCAAGTTTAATTATAGCTTTGACCCAATTATTAATTGGTTGAATAGTTTTATTTGTTGATAAACATTGACAAGTATTTTCTTTTTTTCTATATAGAAATGAATATTGACAATAATATCTTAATTCAATCTTTGTCAATTGTTTTGAACATTTATAAAATTTATTTGAATTATATTTTATAAAATTTTTTTGTGTACAATATGAACAAATAAAACCATTAGGAAAATATTTCTGTTTAATATATGAATGATTATTATTATATTGAGGTATTAAATGTAGATTTGAATTTAAATTAAGTGATGATGGTGTACATTTTGTTATATTAAAAAATGAATATTGTAAAAAATTCGAATTTAAACATAAAATAGCTGTACAAACAAAAATATCTGAACATGATAATTGAGAATACCACATAAAGAAATAAAGAAAGATTCTTCTATAAAATGAATTGAATTAACTAGATGACGAAAACGCGCTTTTAAAAGAAAAAGAATTTTTCCTAATAGTTATCCAAGTATATAAAATTAAGATTAACGATCGTATGATGTCGCTTGAGAACGTATTCAATAAAAGGTGTTAATAATCCATTGGCCGATCTTTTTTAGTGTAGTTTTTAAAATTTTATTTCTTTTTTCTTTAATTTCTAGATTAAAAAATTAAGTTTTAATTTTTTTTTGTATCTCTTATTTAAAAATTTTATAATAATGCCCAAGTCAAAATCAAAATTAAAAAAATCAATGATTACTACATCAACAGAAACTGTTGTTGAACTTTCAGAAGAACTTAAATCAACAAAATGTGAATATACATGTAATTTTATTTTAAAATTTCTATGTCATTCATTTCTCTAAGGTAATTGTACATCTTCTCAGAATGATTCTTCAACTGAAAAACTTCAAGTTTTTTCACAATCGAATTCTCAATCATCATCATCATCATCTCATCTATCTCGTAAATTAAAGTCGAGAAAATATTCTCGTAAATTATGTTATTCGAATATTCTTTCGGAATTATTTATTATGAATAATAATAAGTTAAATGAACAAAAAGGTGAAATCTATTCGACACCCATTGCTAAATCAATTGTACTTGAAAAACATGAAACATTTGCTAATCAAATATTAAAAACATTTGATAAAATAGATGATTTACCATATTGTTTTACAAAAAATAATCTTCAATCACAAATGAAATATCGAATGATTTCATTAATTGCTGATCCATTTTGTGATCAAGTAAGAAAAAAAACCACATAAAGACGATGTATGAAATTACGAATCAACCGTCCGAAAGAATTTGAATCTGATTTTTTTAGCTAGAGAATTACCACTAAACCCTAACTTGTTTCACACCTGAGTTTCTTCTGAGATATCGAAAAAATCTTTTTATCATCATTCCGTTATAAGTCTTTATAGTTCAATAGCGCTCAATATACTAATTACAAACATCAACTATTTTTCAAAAGTTTTTAGATAATAAGACAGATCTCAAGTACTCTTTGAAAGCCTTAACAACCATTTGTTGTATAACTTCTTTCTCTATCAAAATATATGAAAAACTTCTTCGATACTTAGATCTTTGTCTATTGATCAATGTCACCCTAATTGAATTATGTTATTACTAATCATGGTTTTTTTATCGAATATGTAATTCTGAATTAATTTATATTTCTTTTGACTAATATTCGATGGTTTTTCTAGAAGGAAAAAATTTCATTCAACTTCAAAAAATGTCACATCTGTAATCCAAACAAAGAACTAACGAGGGAACCGCCCAAAATGATTCACTGCTTTTGACCTGATGTTTTGCCAATAAGTAGATCCGGATGAGACTGGGAAGCACCCAAAAGAATACGGGCCTATGGACTTTCCTTGCAGACCTATAGTCGTATTACTGAATTTCGCTTCATGCAAGGTACGTACCAAAAAACAATTCAATGACGAAGTTTCGACCTGATATTCTATCCATGTATAGCTCTCAAGGTCTATAGAATATCCTCAAAGTTTCAACGGAAAAGGATGTTCCTTTCCAGAAACAATGAATCTACAAAAAACACTCTTATTTCACAGAGTAGTCAGAAAAACCAAGTTTTCTTGTATTTTCATTATCTCTGGAATAGAGCATCCGTTTGCACTGAAACTTTTAGAATATTTTTAAAGACCTTGAGAGCTATACATGGATAGCATATCAGGTCGAAACTTAGTAATACGACTATAGGTCTGCAAGGAAGGTCCATGGGCCCGTATTCTTTTGGGTGCTTCCTAGTCTCATCCGGATCTACTTATTGGCAAAACATCAGGTCAAAAGCAGTGAATCATTTTGGGCGGTTCCCTCGTAAGTTGACTTTTGTATACCTCAAACGGTTTGTGCGACTTCCTTTTGGTCAAAGTAGTGCTTTTCATGAAATTCATTTTTTCATATATCTCTAAGAAGCTACTCAGGGATGAAAATTTGACCGAAAAAGAAGTTGCAGAAATGATTTGAAACGCATATTGGTCGACTTAGTTTTTTTGTTTTGTTTCCAAATATGATACTTGTTTAAAGTCAAACGAAACATTTTCTTTTTGAAAACCGTCGAATATTAATCAAAAGATACAAATTGGCTCTGAATCACATATTCAATGAAACAATCTCGCTGGTGCATGCGTAGAAACTAGAACTTTATGAGAATGAAAAAAAAATCATGATTATTAACAATATGACCTAATTAGAGTATTGTTTGGCATTTATCAATAGAAAAAGATTTGAATATCTAAGAAGTTTTTTATAGATTTTGATCAGGAGAGGAATCCTACAACAAATGAATCTATTTATGAAGAAGCGAAATCAAATTTTAATAGACTCTTAGATCAAAAACTATTAAGACTATCAGAGAGCACTGCAAATGTTTTTTATTATTTGAATACTTTTGAAAACAAATGGTATTTGCAATGAGCACATCTAGTGCTATTAAACTATGAAGACTTGTAATAGAACGATAGTTAAAAAATCTAATCAGGGTTCAATGTTGATTCTTAAACTAATAAAATTAGGTTCAGATTCTTTGAGAAGTTTAATCCGTAATTTGACACACCTTCTTTAACAAAATACAAAAAAATCTTTATTTATTATTAGATGGATCGTATGGAAGCATCAACACAATTAAAAATAAATCTTCTTCGTGTTAATCATGTTCATTTAAATAGTCGTTTACCAGTAAAAATAATGTCTATACCTATATGGACTCGTTATGCTGTACATGTTGTTGTACAAGATGAAAATTCACATTGTCTTCGTTTATCCATTTATAATTGGTCATATGTTATGAATACAAGACAAATAAAATCTTATAATTATATTCAAGAATGTTTAATACGTCTTTTACCAATAAACTCATGTATTGTTATATTAGATCCATGGTTAAAAATGTGTCATGATGGTGAAATAGGATTACGTTGTGAATCACCAAATACACATTTATTAATGATTGATTTTGAAACACGTTGTTCAACAAATAATCGAATCAATGTTGATCAATTACGTCAATGGGGTAATACATGTTATCAAGCTGATGATAATCTTGGTGCTATTCAATTTTATACATATGGTTTAAGACAAATTGATGAACAGCAAGAAAAAGAATTAGCATCTAAAGGAAAATCAAGTACGAATAGATTTTTCTTTATTTTTCGAAATAAAAAAAAAATATATGTATGACCTAGAGTAGGTAAAATAGAATAGACACACTTTTTATTTGACTTTGCTTAATTTGTTTTTAAATAAGTTCTGTTAGCATAGACAAATGGAAAAATGTTGTCAATTCCAGCTGACTATTAATGAAAAGCTGTTAGCGCAATCCCGGTGGGATGAACATGGGAAACACAATGTAGTAGCTGTTGCTAATCATAGGGATATTATTTCATTCTATCTATTTTAGGCCCTATTTCTTCACTACTCTTAGACTTAATCCCCTTGAAAAAATGCAGTATATTACAATTCGGAGTTTTTCAAACTAAAATGCATCAAAAGAAAGTCAACGTCTTTTTTTTGTGTCACGTTAATAACGCTACATAATAGATTGTAAAAGTCAGCTCTAGAAAACTTTATTATCTTGAGATAGACGTGCTCTAATTTTTTTAAGTCATATCAATAACGTATAACATGCCTATATACAGTATTCCAAAAACGTTTGTTGGGAAAAAGAACGTGAATAAATTTTGAATGATTCAAGTAGTCTCCTTGATCTTTCTAGAATTTTATTTCATATTTTTTTAAAAAGTTTTGTGTCAAATAATTTCATTTGCATCTTCTGTTTGACATGAGCACATTGAACTAAAACATATAATCCACTATTTACTAATATTTGGAAAAGAAGATACTGTTTAAAATATCTCTTCTGAAATTATTTTATTTTCATTACACAATTCTTATTGTTATTTCAATGTGGTTTTTAGTACATATCGTCTATCATTTGTTTTCATATAAAGTGTTGCTCAAAACTTGATGTACTTTAGAGTTGAAATCCCAAGAGTTATCATTTTGTTGAATCATATATTAAGATTTAATATGATTCAATATGCTGTCGAACAAACTTTGCAAACAATATTTTCATTACAAACATGAATTTCAGTGATTTATTATTTATGTCATTATTATAAAACGATCAGAATATATCTAATCGGCGGCAATATCACATTGGTCAAAAGACTGAGAGAACTCTTCAACATTATTATAATTTGATGTTTCCTTGTCACATGAAAAGTTTGATAAGTATAGAATTGAATAATGAAAGACATATGTAAATCAATTAAACTATTAAAGAGTTATTTAAGTTTTATTTTTCGATGAACTATCGGAATATTCTTTATTTTATACATTTTTTTCTTTTTAGTTGGTCCTAAAACAGATGAATGTGAACAACATCGTATACGTCTTTTATCAAATCGATGTGCTTGTTATTTACGTGAACGACATGCAACTTTAGCTTTAGCTGATACAAGTATACTTGTATCCATCAATGAATTATCACATGTACTTGAATCACCAAAAACAACTGCTAGCAAACTTCTTTTTCGTTGTCTTAGTGCTCATCTTCATTTAGGTTTATTTGATAAAGTTGAAAGTCTTATTAAATCTCATAAATTTAGTATTGGTTTAATCAATGGAGAAAATTTAGCAGCTATAAGTATACTTGAAAGAGAATTAACAAGACTTCGTGATGAAAATATAAAAGGACGATATGATCTTCAAGGAATATTATCTGAACAAGTACTAATTCATAAAAATGAAAAAACACCTTTAATGTTTATTGATTTATCACATTATCATGCTGAATGTAATCGAAATGATCTTTTTGAAGTACGACCATGTCGAGTAAGTATTAAATAAATATAATCTTTAAGTTTTTTTTTTTTTTATAATTTTTATTAATATAGCCCGAAGAATTAATTAAAAATGGATATCCAAAAGGTTCTTTTGGTATTTATGCTTTAAAAAATATTGAACCAGGTACTTTATTAGTTGTTGAACAACCATTTGCTAGCATTGATAATCGAATTATTGGTGAACAACGTTGTCATTCAATTAATTTTTGGCAAACAAATGATAAAAATTCTACTATTGAATATTGTAATGATGATACATTACGTTTATTAAATGAAATTGAAAAACAATTATTAATTGGTAATAATAGTTGGATAACATTTGATAAAATTAAATTAATGCAACCTATTCGACAATGGTTAATTGAAACAAAAAATAATAATGAAACAGAACGAGAAGATAATAATAATGATACTTCAGAATTATTAGACAATGATCAAATATCAGTATTATCAAAAAAACAATGGCAAAAACCATTTTCCAAGTAAGTTTATCCGAACTTCAAAGAATTTGCTTATTGAATAATCGTGAAGATTTTCTAAAAACAAAAAAAAAAATTTTTAATTTATTTGAAAGAGTATTTTTATTCTATAGCAATTGTTTTTTCTCAGGAAACGATTACGATCTGCAAGATATTTATCATTTTACATATCTTGTATTAGTATAATAAAGCTAAAGTATACATGTGAATTTCAAATATTAACTCAAAAGTAATTGTGATAAGAATTCTTTTTAGTCAACTTTAAGCAATTTTTACGACAAAACTTGATGACTTTGAAAAACACGACTTAAAATGAATGTTGAAATATAGAAATGAAATTTAGATGCCTCCACAAACATTGTTGATGTACGATCATAGATTGTATATCAATAAAAATCTCTTTATAATATATGTACAACTTTCTTATTACATTTCTAAAGGATTAAGTAAAAGAACGATGAAGAAATAGATTCAAATACCATTAATTAAATGTCATGTTTTGATGAATATTCTTAGACGATTATCACCTCCGACATCCTATATTCCATGGCGTATTCTATTTGAAACTCAACAACAAAATCCATTTCGTTCAAAATCAACAATTGGTTGGTATCCACTTGGTTCAATGTTTAATCATTCTTGTCTACCAAATTGTTTATGGTATCTTATTGGTGATTATCTATTTATATATGTTTGTGCATCAAATATTCGACAAGGTGATGAATTAACTATATCATATTGTCCATTATGGATATCATCATTAAATGAACGTACATTACAATTACGTCAATTTGGTATAACATCTTGTCGATGTTTACTTTGTTCATATGATCGATCTAATATGCCACAATATGAAATTGAATTAAAAAAATTTTCTAATTTACGTGTATTAGCAAGACAAAAAAATTTATCACGTTTAAAACGTTTTAATTATATAGAAAAATTAAAATATATTTATGAATTTATAACAAAAAAATTTCGACAACGTTCAATAGGTTTTATAAATGAATTTATTGATTTAGAATATATTTCAAAATATATTCAACATGATTATAATAATGAAAATAATAATAATCATATTAATGAACATGAAATTGAAAAATTTCTAAATGAACAACAATTATCATTTCTTCAACGTTTATCACGTGTTTGTCGTTTAACAATAAAAGATTTACCTAAAATTGGTAATCCAATTTTTTTATTTGGAACACAAATACAAGTATGTTCTCTAGAAATTCAATTCCATTCATAAATTAAAAAAAAAAAGAAATCAATATTTTATATCTGATAGTTTAAATTTTAATAAATAAAAAAAACAAAAAAACTCAAATGAAGAATTTATTTTAATATTTCTAGTTACTTGTTCATCATCTTGAACATTATCATACACGTGTACATACCTGTGATTTAAAACAATGGAATCGTTTACTTGAATGTCTTTATGAAATATTTACATTTAAATGTTACGTATCAACGAATAATATGCAAAAAACATTGCAGGATCATGAACAATTATTTATGAATCTCTTACAGACACAAACTTTTTTACAAGATTCATCTATTTTAAAATAAAACATCATCTATATAATGTGAAAAATTCTATGTGACAGTAATTCATTTGTGTTTGTTAATATCTATTTGCTATGTTTGTTGTTTCTTGAGGTTTTGTTTTAAGTTCATCATACTGTGCTATAGATATATTCATATGTATATTATAATGTAAATGAAATTAAAGAAAAAAAAAAGAGAGAACTATATTTGCTACGTATTTTTGTTTTGTTTGTTTTCTTGTATGAAACAACTTTGTTTTTTTTTCGTGTTGAACAACAGACGTTCTTTTTTTTTTAATTCAACAGAGAATGAAAAATAAATAACTTCTATATTCGATATTTCGACTAGTACTTTTCTTCATATGCCATATATTTTTACATGAAAATTATTTACACAATATTAATAAACATAAAGTTATATCTAATCAATTGAGACGATGTAATTCAATTTAGAATGATGAAAATAAATTTTTTCATAAGTGCTGATTAAGAAGAATCACTTAGATTAATATAATATAGTAATTGAAAAATGAATCAAGTCTATTATTTGAGTATTGTACTATTTAACAATTGAGTATGTTCGCCTATCAGTACTGCTCGATTATAAATGTTTCAAGGCGGAGGTAGCAAAAATCAACTACTGAATATAGACATCGTATTGTTGCTTTATATCTTTCTACAATTTCAGTAATCTATCAGATGGAATCGATCATCCTTTAGTGTTCTGCAAGAATGCAACCTTTCGTGACCAAATCCGGATAGTTGTACATTTACAGTACGATTTTTAATCTGTTACTTTATTTGAAAAAGAGCATTATTTAATTGCTTTCATAAACAATAACAAACAGATTATCTCAAATTTCACAAAACAGCAAGTGAATCAAGTAACACAGAATTTACTTGATATAGTTCTGCTTTTAAAATCTGATTAACTTCGCTAATTATACATTTACTTGTTGCTGATGACGCTGGAATAGAACACAGTATTGGTACCAAACGTCATTACTGTGGATACATACATGAATGTTTTTTTTTCATCATGGACATGTATGTTCATCTTTTCAATATTTCATTTTTCTCTACATATATTCAATTACTTTGTCACATAGTTTATCATGATCTATAGATAAGTTTTCATTAAAAACTACTGTAATCTGTTCTTAAGTACATTAAGCTATTCAAGTATGATTGAACCCGTTTTTACTTCTATGCTTTTATGTAAACTAGCAGTTTGAAAAAAATAAAAATATTTTGAAACATCAATATCTTATTAATTGTTGAATTGGATCCAGATATGAGATCATATTCAGAGTCAGAGCCAAAATTGTTTTTTTTTCATGCCGAGTACCCAAACCAGTTGTAGGACACTATCGTACATCATTCATCTGAATATACACTTGACTCTCATAATTCTTTGTATTATCTATAAATCATCTATTATAAAAGCTTAACAATATTCTACATTATTCTGAACAAAATGAAAGATCGCCATATTTTCTATCAACTTCACTTCAAAACTTAAAAGTATCGCTACAAGCGTAAAAAAAATGAAATTTATCAAAAACTTGGCTAAGAAACTTAACATTATAGAAAATAAAAAAATCCCTCAGTAATCTGTTACAAACTTTTTTCTACTACCTTACAGATATATCTTTTTATTTAGCAAGCACTCCTTATGAAATAGTTAACATATAATTCTTTTGTATATTTTATTATTGAATAATAGATTTTAAATGTTTGAAAATTCTATCTTCGAATTTTTTTTTTTACATTAGAAATTTAAATTTTACGAATTAACTGAATTATCATAATTCTGTTCGTTGTATATTAGAAAAAAAAAACATATCAATCAAAATTTAAATGATTATAACGAGATATTTTTTCACGTGACTTAGATCGATGAAATACAACAACATGTATATATTTCTTGAATTTTTTTCGTTTAGTAACTTTCTAATCAGACGGACGAACTAAAATAAATTTCTTTGGAAATACAATCGTATTAATTTACACGTTCTGAACATTTCATCGTTTTTTTTTTCTTTATATAAATAGTCGTGTTTTCATCATCATATCTTTAATTACAATCTACAAAATTACTACAATCATCCTTCGTACTTCTTCATAGTAATCTTCTATTTACTTTTTCACTTTTCGATTATAATTTCTAATACAATGCCACCAAAGAAAAATAATAATAATAATAATAATGATACAAATGTATCATCAAGTCAAAATAAACAATCGGGTAGTACTGAACAAGGTAATAATAGTCAACAACAACAAGGACAACAGTCTCAAAATTCAAATAATACTAAACAAGAAAAAAGTGACGGTCAACGTATTAGTAGTAGTAATGGATCAAGTTTCAAACCTATACGACGTTCAAAACGAGCTGTAAGTTAAATCTGTAATTATTTTTTATTTTCAATAATCAATTATTTTTAGGGATTAGTCTTTCCTGTTCATCGAATTCATCGTCTTTTACAAGACGCAAATTATCCTATGCAAATTCGTGATGGTACTGCTGTATATATGGCTGGTGTACTTGAATATTTAGTAAGTTTATTATCATGATTTTTTTTTTGTTTCTATTTTATTTTATTTTTTTTTCGTATTCTAGGTTGCCGAAGTTGCTGAATTGGCAGGTAATGCTGCACGAGACAATAAACGACAACGTATTACACCTCGACATATTTTTTTGGCTATTCATAATGATGAAGAATTGGTTAAAAAAAAATCATTCTTCTATTTTTTTCTTTTTTATAAATTTATTGTTTATTTTAGAATAAATTATGTGAAAATGTCACTATTGCTTCTGGTGGTGTTATGCCTAAACTTCACGAAGTTTGTTAAATATTTGTTGTTGTTAATTTTCCATGTGTATATATATATTTTTTTTTTGGAAGATATTACTTCAATCGAAGAGTAGTCATTCTAGTTCGCGTGGTAAAAAATCGAATAAAAAGTCAAATTCAAAGAAACAACGCAATATAAGTTTTACTGATGGTAAGAAATCTTTTCTTTATTAACTTTTAACTATGTGATTGCAATTCATTTATTTTAGGCGATACAACAGTTGACAGTATTGATGATAATGAAGAATCAATGGATGAATAAATTTTAGCTATAAACTTTTTCGTTGTACTATTTTGTATTTATTAAATTTTTATAATCAAGATTGTTTTGTTACTTATTTATATTTGTCTATATTGTATTTTTTTATTTTATTTTATTTTTTGTAATCCTGATGAAAACATAAATATAATTACAAACTAGAATTGAACAGACATAAAAGAAAAACAAATATTTTATTTGTTGTCATTAATTATTTACTGTATGTAATCTATCAGCATAGATATATTTAAGAGTTGTCCATATTCTATGATAATCAGAAAATGAATTTTGTCCTATATGACGACCAGTTGAACATATAATAACTGGTGGATTAGATGGTAATGAATCTATTGTATTACTCTTTCGAATTAATTTTAAACATTCATCTGTTGAACCTTGATAGAAAGTAAATGGAAGAGTTTCACAAACAAAATTAAGAGTTTCAGGTAAAATGCCCGTTATAAATATATCAGAAAAACGAAATGGATGTTCAATTTTAAAACCTTCCGTTGTAAGTAAATCTCTTGTTTTAGAATTCATAAGATAACCAAAACCTTAAATCAAGAACAAGAATCATTATATATATATATATAAGCATGATTATAAAGAAACAACAACGAACCAGAACAATAACGTGGATATAATTCTCTTGGATATTCTTCATATGTAACATAATATTGTGAAATATTAAGATTTCGTTCTGGTCGACCTGGTTGATATGCCCAACCAAATAGAAATTTACTTGCTTCAGAAGCTGTTTGAGCAAGAAAAAGTGAATTCAATGAAATATTATATAAATATCGATTTTGAACATTATTTGAATCAGTTTTAAGTTCTCGTATAAGTTCATGCATAAGAAGAGAATTTACAAAAAGATCATCTTCTGTTTTAAATATGTATTTAACACTAGAACAATGTTGTTCTAACCAACGATAAGCATGTAATTCTTTAAGTGTAACTGAAGAATCATTAATAGTTAAATAAAGTAAATCTTGTTCATGTGCAGCTTCATTTGATAAATCTTTATACAATTTACCACCAGATTGATAACCGATAACAAAAAGACGTTGTGAATGTACACCGAAAATATCAGACATTGATCCCCATGTTTCACGTATTGATTGTCGTTCAAGAAAACGTGACCTTGAAGAAACAACTAGAAATACAAGATCTACTTCATCTGATAAACATATTTGTTTATTTTCTATTATAGGTGATGATGTAAGAATAGCATTTTTATAAGCTAATTCTTCAGCTGTATCACGTTGATATCCAAAAATACGATTGGATGAAGTGAAAATATACCATCCACAATAGAACAATAGTAAAAAACTCAAAAAAAGGCATACACGATCACTACAATTTCGTCGCATGAAAACATTTCTTGGTTGATGACTTATTGGTGATAAGAATAGATCACGATAGAAGGTTCGTTGATAGAAAGTTGTCTGAATAGGCATAATCTTAATGATTGTATGTGTGTGTGTTATTACTGGAAGCGTAAACGCATGTGCAAATAGAAGGTAGAATCTGCAAAGAGAAACAAAGTAAATTTTTGTGTAGGTAGTTTTTTTTTTCTTTGATTGTTTGAGTGTCTTTACGAAAGCAATGATTTGACACATGGCATAGTTGTTCAAATTTTTGCTTATCTTATTTTCATTTTTATTTCATTCAATAGCTCGAATTAATCTGATTTACTGTATATTTAAATTAAATTTTTTTTTGTTTTTTAATTCGTACCTTGAATTATCATTTCATGATCATAGAACAACGAATATTTAATATCTATTTTTGATGTTTTCTTTTTGACTCATTCATTACTTTGGTAAAAGAACAAAATATGCATGCTTACGAAATTGTTATGGCTTGATTCTTTCGTTCTGCTTTTAGAGACTAGCAAACATATGTATATACATTTATAATCATATGTCGAAAGTTTTTTTTTCTCTTAAAATCTATCTCTTTTTTTTTAACGAAAACTGTTGTTCTTTTTCCTAAGAAAATTATATTCATCTTTGATTTTCAATGACTCAAGAATGCCATTTTAATGGATATTTACATTATAAATGATTAGTGTTTGCCTATGCTGTTAATAACTTCAAAACAAATTGTATTAAAAAAATAGAACAACATAAATTTTATAATATTCAAACAAAAAAAAAAAGATATATTTATATATGCATTTATTTTACTTTTGGAACAGATAGAATTCTGAATAACGGATTTTTATGAAAGAACGAACAAGATTATGTGGGTTTGTCTTCTTCAATTATGTAACTGATTTCATTTCCTGTATGCTGCATTGCACTTGTTTATAGATGACGTCATTCCTTAAGAAACCATTGAACTTTCGGTTTCTTTTTATAACTATGCAATTTCTTATTCACTTGAAAGTACGAAGGGTGTAGATGTGAGTTTCCTTTGATTATCTTGAATCTCATGAAGCAATCCTTATTTCTATTTTTTGTAGAACATTTTTTTTACACAATTTATGATTTGTTAGTGAATCATGTACATGAAATTTTGTCTATTGTTATCATATAAACTTGCTGCTCACGGTACGATTTCATATAAAATAAAAACATTTCATAGTTTCGAAACAATATCATTCCGTCATTGATCCTTAGAAATACAATTTATTCCAAATATTTGAGATTTTATATTCTCAAAAGATTTAAAAGATATTGATGAAAATTTCTTGTCTATAATGTTGAACTTGTGTGTGCAGCTTGTATGTACTATCAATACGTGTGAAAAGAGGATTATTAAACATGTTTTTATTTGAGTCCCATGTCGAAAAATCTATGATGTATTATCCGTTCTTAACATAAGATGAAGAGTTCTGATATTCAGAAATAACAAATGAAATAACCAGGAGGAAACTTTCATAAAAATTTATATCGGTGTTTTGAGAAACAAGCGCAAAAAATGAATTTGAATACAAAGAATATAAAAATTAAGTGTATATTTCTAGGATTAGGATGAGTCAGAAAGCTCAGCTTATTACTGTAGGGTGTGGATGTAAGTAAAGCACTTGTCTTCGCCAACATACATCTCAATTTCATGCCTTAAACCATATTCTATATACTTTTCATGATAAAATAAATTCCTAAACACTACCCAACACTAAACTAGGAGTTATATACCTTCAACAGAATGTATAAAAAGGACTTCCATCTCTGGATCATCGAACTTTAGTCTGAATTGTTGCAGTAGTGTGTTTTGCTTGTTTCATTCATTCGATAATGAATATCCAGAAATTGAACTTTTCGGGGAACTTGAATTTACCATGCTCTTCAAATCGAATGGGTTACTCTTTTTATAACTCAGAATAGCGAACAAGAAACTATTCATTTGTCACTATGTCAAATTCAGAAAAGTATACATTATAGTCAAAAAAATTTAGAACATCATATGATTAGGTCGTAAAACTTAGACGGGAATCTCATCAAATGTCCTTTTTCGATTCCAACGGCTTTGTACCTATAGATATCATATGGTATTCTAACAGAAGTCATTAAACGATTAGGATTTCTATTGAAATTTAATTAAGCTATCAAATTTTCAATACATCTACTTTCTTGAAGTTTTACGCTTTCGGAAAAATCGTATTTTCGAAATTAGATCTGAAACTTTCCGTACATATGGGAAATCAACTAGATTAGCTTCCATGAAAAAAAAATTCACAACTTTTGAAATATTTCTCGTCGAGTTATGAGACTTTCAAGATATAGAACCATTTCCATAGATAGTACATCCAACATGCATTTTTGGAAAGATTCATATCTCGATGAGACTGTGTTGAAAATTTCTGAATTTTTTTATCCGAGCTAATCTAAATGAATTCTTTGTATGCATGAAGTTTCAAATCAAAATTCGAAAATGTGAGTTTTTCGAAAACCTGGAGCATTTAAAAAAAAGCTCGATAGGTTAGTCTGATCTCAATAGAAATCGAAATCACTTTCGAATTTGTATTAGAACACTATATAGTATATATAGGAAAAAAATCATTGACATCACAAGGATACATCTGAAGACGTTTTCTCGTTAACAATCAGATAATCGTCGGTTAGCTGCATGTCATAAATTGAATAGTTTTCTATAGACAATAAAGATAAAGATTTTCATATTGAATGCAATAATAATACCTGTCAGATAGAACGTACAGAATTCATTACAGATTCAATGACTTAATATTGAATTATATTCTCATGCACTGACTTTTTTTTTATCAATATAGTAACATTCGTATTCTTACGCATCAATGTTTCTACCTATAAGATAAAAAAAATCTGATCAGATTTACAATCGGATAAACTCAGATTATAATAGAAATTACCAAAACAAATGCTGATTATATTTCGGATAGAATCCTATTCAAGTCATCAGAAATAGACCAGAGTAACACTCATGTATGAAAAAATAAACAACAATATTAATAAACAATTATTAGACAAAATAGCCTAGAGATAAGTATTACTCTTGGACAAACACTAAATAATATAAAGGAGAAAATACTTAGTTACTGAAATCAAATATAACACACATGATAATAGCGATACATCTATTAATTTATGTCAAATGAGAAAAGAAATAGAAATTATTAAGTCATTATTGAAAATTACAAAAATTAACACAAATATATCTATTTTGATTCTCGATCAGTCTGAAAAATAAAATAAGAAACAAACAAAGTCAAGATTAACAAACAATGCGTTGTATGTATTTCAGTTTCTGTTGATCTATTTCGTCAGATAAAATAATATTCAATGTAGATATTCCATAAATAGAAAAGTTTGTTTTTCTTCCCGATGTTTTTCTCTTGTATACCATATTAACAAGCACTCGCATTGAATTAACATCCTTACAAAGATACAATTCATTTCAGTAGAAATGATTAATTATTACAAAAGTGATTTGTATATGAAAAAAGTTTACACAATGTTATTGTTAATAGAAGAGTAATGACCTCTTCTATCTAATATCTTGAATCGTTTGTTGCT